AGCAAGAAGTTTGAGCACATTGATGTGGAATGAACACTCATCCTACACCCAAATGCTAGAAGTCATGTCCTCATCCAGAAATATGCCTCAATCAGAAAAGACAGCATAGTTAAAGAGATCTGGCTTGAGAGACAGTAAGGGAATGCTGGAAGTAGTATTGGCATGGCCCAATCACCACGAAAATTCCTTAAGGAGAAGAGAGGTTCATAAATGAGGCCAATGGAGCCCAAGAGAGACACCCTTGGATCTACAGTGTCTACTGGAGTGGTTGTTTGTACTCACCCCCAAAGGAATGAGTGGTTTGAAAGAAGCCAATATCCCCAAAAGTGAAAGAACATCACACACAGAAAGACTAGATGAAGAAGAGAATGCTAAACTCAGCATCAAGAAATCAATAAAATGGCCAGAAGTATGTCATATTGAGTGAGCATGAGAAAGGACTAGGATGTCATGACAAGACCAATGAAGTAGCCTCCAGTAAAAAAAGGAAAGTGTGTGAAGAATTAACCAACTGAGAATGGACCAACAAAAGTCAATCATCCAAATAAAAGAACGCCAACCCAGGTGAGTGAAGGCCCTCATAATACCAATGAATACAAAAAAGAGGCCAACACTATGTCGACGGGAAGAGCAAGGAATGGGAAAATGTGAAATTGATGGAAGGAGCACAGAAAAAATAAAGAAGGTGGATCAAGAGGGATTTGTAAGGAACACATTGACTATGGCTAACTGCAAATTATGGTCAAAAAGACCATAAGTGGGAGCAAAGAGAGCAGTGAAGGGAGAGACCAAGGTTGTGAAATGAAAAACGATTGTTGGTAGAAATGGAGACCAACAGCAGGAGGAAAGATGAGTATCCTCAGGGTTGTACATGTTAGACAGTCACTGACAAGAAGAGCTATGAACTACAATTGTGGTAGAAAAAGGACGAGAAAGAAAAGAAGGTCTGTAACCTGAAATGAGAATACTAGAGATAGACTAATCTAAACAAAAACAGGAGTAAAGAGCAAGGTCAAGAAAGAAGATAATGACGACTGAACTGTACGTCAGCCTATGTCACCAGAAAGAAATAAACATCACTAAAAACACTTTGGCAAAGAAAAGAGCCTGAAGAGAAACATATACATGGAAGGAAGTAATAAACTTAAGACCCGATGAGTCTCACCACTAAGGGAAGAGAATAAGGAGAAATAGAGTAGACGAATTGGAACAGGCTAAGCTAGCAATGAGAAGTGAACAAATGTCTATAGAAATCCCATCTGAAACATAATGAAGTGTCTAAAAACAGGCAGAGGTAGGAAGTGAAACAAAGGTGAAAATGGGGAAACAGAAAACAGAAGGTGACCAAATAGATACCAAGGACAGGAAATACAGAATGGGGAAAGGAGAAAGTCTACAATTCAGGACAAAAAGAGTCATAAACAGGTTAAACAGGCATTTGGATGTGAGAAAAAGCTATCAGAGACAGAAGGAGGTGGTGTGAAAACAGAAACGAGACATAAGAAACGACACAAGCAAAATATAAGGAAATGAACACACCTGAGAATGAAATCCAGAAAGAGATTGGAAGTTACAGTCGTCTACGGAAGAATAAGATGCTACCTAAAGCAAATTATGTCAAAGTCATAGTCTAATATATCATTCCCAACTGAAGAGAGAGTTTCTGTTGACAGGATGAGAATAGCAGGCCCAGTAATGAGGTAATCCAAAATAGATTGAACAATGGCTGCAATGTTCTTAACAGTTAATGAACCTCCATGGACCATGGTAGAAATAATGCCTCTGTGTAAATAATGTCACTCAAACAGCTCAAAGTATAAGTCCCCATCATTTGAGAATTCATAATATAAGTTAAAGCTTTTGAAACAAAAGCCAAAGAAAACGAAAATGAAAGCTTCGTTAACAATGCAAATCCCAACAAATTGAACTGAGACGATAAATTTAAACACATCTGATCGACACAATGCCAAAGAGAAGAATTAAGTTATCATGAATGCAAGTACATAGGGGAAGTTACTGTGCATGAAGGTCGTGTCACCTCTTATTGGTGAAGAGCTTTTGTCACATTATAACATCTTACACTGGTGCAGTTCAGATTAAAACAAGTGAAATTAGGTGGGAATTGCCTCAAGGCTAGTGGCATGCAAATCTCTGAGACTCAAAAGGAAGATGGCTCAACTGTGTAAAGAATATGATGATGGTGATGGTGCAATACCTAGAAAGTTCAAGATGGCGTAATAACTGAGAAGTGTCGTGAAGTATGTATAAAACAAGTATGGTTGTAGATACAAGAATATGTGAGTTAATGAGTAATTATTGAGTATTTCAGATCAATGTTAGTAGTTAGAGTTATTGTGTCTACTCAGTTAATTGATAATTTGCAAAGAAGTTCTATATGTCAGGTATAGGTACTATCAATAAGAATTTCTGTTGCAATGTTGTTTGTGAACTTAGGCCTACTTGTATCAAAATGAACATAGCCGGTAGAAACATCATAGAAGAGATAAGCGAATTCGTTATGGTTACATTGATTGATTTGTCATTATGTTTAACAAATAGTCCAAAATTACCTGCCTAACAATAGAACATGGTATAACACAATTATTCGTTATATTAAAATATCTGAACAAGGAATACACTATGAAAATGGAACTTCTCGTCCTCTCACACTTAATTCATTGAAGACAGCAGCATGAACTACAACCTATAAAAGCTTAAGTGCATAGAGATCTGATCAACTGTACAACTAGCTGCATTATGAATTAGAACAAAACGTAATGCTGATAATTTAATTTTAAGTGATAGTAACCAGTTAATATGACGAAGTACAGTACTGTGCAAAAGTGTTAGGACAAGACAATATTTTGTCATTCTTTCCATTTTATAGGGCTAATTCTTCCACGCCATTACAGAATGTAAATTTCATTATTATGATAATGCTTCCCTGATCCCTCTTGACAACTGAATGTAAATTTGATCAGAATGATCATTCAAGCACAACCCTTATGACATTTCCTTGGTACAAGTATCTGAGAATTCTAAGGAATGATACTTATTCTCACATTTAGGGTTGAAATAACTGTCATGGTACCCCATGCAGTGTCTTAGCTATATAGAAAGAAGCTAGCAAGAAGCTAACATATGCTATAAGATATCTATTTAATAGCACTTCACAAATAAACCTTGATAAAAACAGTGTTTAACACTTTATATTAAATTTTGTTTTTATGCCACGGCCCAAAAAGTGTAGAGAATTGTCAGCAGAGCAGAGACTTCACATAAAAGCTGATTGGACCCTCTGATAAATTGCTGCAGTCTTGAAATGCTCCCCCAAACACTGTCAAGTACACCCTAAATCGTGAGGAAAGGAAGAGGCAGAACACCTAAACTCAATGATACTGATGTTAAGTATCTTCGTTTATGCAGCCTTCGGGAAAGAAAGAAGACTGCCACTGATATCAAGCATGAGATAAACGACCATGTACCAAATAATAGAAAAGTGTCCACATCTGCAGTATCAAGAAGACTCAACGAAAATGGAATATTTGGTCGTGTAGCAGTTAAAAAAAACCTTTGATTCGATCTCCAATTATTGTCAAGACTGAAACTTGCTAAAAAGTACAAAATTGGACTGTTGATGATTGGAAAATGATGTTATGGATTAATGAGTCCAAGTTTGAAATACCTGGTTCTAAGCATAGTCTGTAAGTCTGGTAGAAGTAAGGTGAAAGGTACACCCCTCAATGCATAGCACAAACCATGAAGCATGGGGGAGGCAGTGTGATGGTCTGGAGGTGTTTTTCTGCTGAGGCAAAATAGATGTATTAATGGAGCAGTGCAAGTACTATCAGATACTGATCCATCATGGTATACCCAGTGGTTTGCATATTATTGGTAAAGGATTCTACTACCAAGAAGATAATGAACCCAAACAATCAACCAACCTATGCAGAAATTACTAAGCTAAGAAAGGAGCTGTTGGAGTCAAATGATGCAATGGCCCCCACAGATCTCCAATCTCATCCCAATTGGCTCGGCATGGCCAGGTGGTTAGGGTGTTCGACTCGCAATCTGTGGGTCGCGGGTTCGAATCCCTGTCCCACCAAACATGTTCGCTCTTTCAGCCATGAGGGCGTTTTAAATGTGATGGTCAATCCCAATATTTGTTGGTAAAAGAGTAGCCCAAGAGTTTGTGGTGGGTGGTGACGACTAGCTGCCTTCCCTCTAGCCTTAAACTGCTAAATTAGAGATGGCTAGCGCAGATAGCCCTCGTGTAGCTTTGTGCGAAATTCAAAATAAATCAAACTTATCCCAATTGAGCTGATCTGGGATTTGATAGATCAAACATTTGACACATAAAAAGTTACGTTGAAATAAGCTTTAAGTGAGTCTATTATAGACAGTTGAGCAAAATCCGAAAGGACACTTTAATTAAATATGTTGCAACACTGCCTGAAAGACTGTTTGCTGTTATTAAAGCAAAAGGGGACACACAAAATATTAGCTGTTTGCTAAACTCAAGCACTTCCACCGAGTTTATGTTATACTAAATATGAATATTAATCAAATTTTGATGTTCCAACTGTGATTCACCTTCCATTGTTCTTTGAAAGTAGCCTGAAATATAATTTTTGACTTTTGCACAATACTGTATAAAACATAAATGATAACAAAATTGCAGTAGATGTTATATTGTAAAATTAAGTAAGTGTGTATTGACAATAACATATGTATGAAATGTGTTGTTTTGTAGAGGAAAACAATATAGTTAACCTAACTTATAATATACCAGTCAATTGAATTACAGATCATCCTAAGATAACAAAGGCCCATGTTAAGCCTAATTTAACTTATAGGACAAAAGATAGAACTAAGCTCTAATTTCAAACCTGAACTTGGCTATGTGTATTGACCAACTAAATTTAACTTATGTTATTAAACCGAAATAATAATATTTACAGTAACAATATTCAAAAACCAATTAAAGTATAATGCTTTACCTTTCCGAAGTCAGTGGACCATATTTCAAAACGTGTGGGCCTCCAAAACTCGAGTCAAAGCCCAACGAAGGTCAGCTCATTGGACGACCAGTTTCCCAACGAAGTAAAGATGATAATTCCCCAGTCGAGGACCGTCACCTGAAACCTGTGTAAATGTGCTGATAGAAGATATAACCTCTGAAATGGTAACTTAGGAAATAAAAAAGTAGAAACATTTTTTAATGAAATATTAAGTTCTGTAACTGGGTAGATATATAATTTCACTTCTCAGTAGGTTACAAAGATCACTATTATATAATAAATAGTAAACTTGTTGATAGAAATTCATAAGAAGATACGAAAAAAAAAACTTGAAGAGAGCACTACAAAGTGATAGTTAGGTAGAATTGCATAGAGGGTGTCACATGAGTCATATGGGTGTGTGGCACTTCTATTGTTGGAGGTTTTGCGAGAATCAGTTGAACCTTGTGAATGGAGGGATGTGTGGGAGGGAATGGTTTGTGGCATGTGAAAAAATTTTCAAATAGAGGGCAGCAGTGAATGAGAATGTTTGTGAGCGGAATGTACTTCTGAACAATTCTCTCCCTTAGGTCTGTTGAGAGTTTTTTCTCATCATTCTCAATACGTAATAGTAAACCAAATTTAACTTTCAG